CATTGCTCTTCATCCTCTAAACTAGCTTGTTATGTTTTAATTTTGAAGCATCTGTTAGTTGATACTTATAAAAAAAACATACCTTCTCAACAAATTTAGATCTAGCATATGTTGAGATTTATTAAAGTGAGCACCACTACTATTCCTATCAAGAGATTTATCTTTATATTAAGACTGCTTGAGGACAGGATGGTGCATGTACAAATGGCTACATGAACTTGATATGTGATCCTGGCACAATTCTACTTGAGATGGTTAAAAGGGAACTGTATGTATGGTTGAGACTGAATTGGAGATGCTGACCCAAGGTGTGTAGCATTTCAGAATGTTCAAGATATATTATTAAGAGGTCTGTGAGATAGTGCTCAAAATGTATGCAAGGGCACATTTTTACTAGGAAAAATCCCAGAGTTTTTATATTTCTTGAAGAGATATGTAACTCCCTGCAAATTAAGTAAAATTAAAGAGACATGTAATTCCTCCCCAAAATTATATAAATTCATGTAATAAACATGAGGCACTTGCTGGTCCATGATTCAGATCTATTCCGTTCCATCCCTTGTATTATTCTTGGTTTCTGAGTTGGTTGGAAGGAAAGGAGAATTTCAAGCCAAGATGGTCAGAGAATGCACCATATGCCTTGACTCAATGTTGACAGATGAGATGCTGAAAAACAAAGAATGACCTTATGCTTGTAACTATAGGCCCTTAGCGTAGTTTGGAAAGAGAAAGAATAGAGATTGAAAACTTCACTCAGGCAATCTCTGCCTTCTAGGAATTTTGGATTGGCAAGACCAGAGCTACTGATAGTATGCAGGTTCCAGGAGGACTGTGACCTTCACTTAACCTGAGGTCATTATACATTCAAGGATTTGGCTGATCCTCAATGGAAAAATTCCCTTGTATATGATTTTGATTACAAGAAAAAGAAATGAAGAGAGGAAAAGCCAGAGAGGGAGAGACAGAGAGACAGAGATAAAATTATGTTTTGTGCATGTAAGTTTGATATCACATTAGGTGAAAAGTCAGGGGCTGATTCTTGTGTTGCTATGGCAACTGAGCTACACAACCTTTCATTCTGAGATGGTGAAAAGGGAGCTAAACTTTATAGTCAGTGTGCAAAGCTTGTAGAATAACTTTGAATATAAGTCCTTAATCTCTGAAAGCTGAAGTCTTAAACATCTTTATAGACCCCTTTAGCCCTAAGAATCTTCAATTCTGTGTATCTGATTTTCTGTTCATTCCTCCTGATAAATGGATTATTTTTAACCTTAATCATGTATGTGGCCATAAAATCTATGTTAACTGTCATTAACTGTGTTACATTGGCTTTCTTTCTATTTATTATTCCCGGCATGTTTTATTTTCACCACCTTTTGTAATTTGAAATTTACTATCTGACAACCTGGTTTTTTTACTGATCAGTTTTATCCAGTTACATTTATTGTGATTTTTCTGTGTAGTAAGTTTTGTTATTGTGTCTGTTTATATATGTTCAGTTATTTTATTTTTTTTGTTTTCTGCTTTCTTCTCAATTTTTAATTTTTCCTATATTAACTTGAAAGTTATGCGATCTGCATCTATTATATTAGGGATTAATCACTCCTCGCCCTTTGGTGGTATGATCTCTTCCCCTGATCATTTATCACCATCTAGTGGATTCTTATTATTATCACTTACATTCCAAAGAACAGATAATGGGATAAAAATGTTTTCCATGGAGATAATTTTATCAATATAGACACCCCAACAAGTATTGCACATTCCAAATTATATTCTTGGACTTGAATAATCCCAAAGCTTCATTTTTATTGTGTCCATTTGTTTTATATGCCAATCTTTTCTCCACTTAGCAAGATGTAGTCTCTTGTGACTATGATTTTAACCGCCAAAAGGAGCCTTACTGTTAGTGTGACCCTCTCCTTGCCCTTCTCTTTAATAGGGGCAGATATATCAGGGTCCAGAATTTTCCAATGATTTTACTTGATAGCTAATTAATGGCTTTCTGTGGTTTCCATGGCAATGGCATGCTTTGCTGCCAGGCCTTATCCAAATGGGCATTCTGTTCACTCTTGTGTCTTAGCATCAGCATATTAATCAGAGACTGCAGGTCCTTGGTGCTGCATCCAATTGGTAAGACACTAATTGAATTAAAATCTCACTTGAAGCCTCCAGGTTTCTCTTCCTCCCAGGTAGAGAGGAACCTTGTTAGTTCACAGGGCCAAAAAGAAGCATTTGGAAATTTACAGAACTTTGTGGCCCTTCATAGCAAAGAACTTTTCTCTCACCCAAGAATAAATGTCTGATGTCTGAATGTTTCTCCTTGAAATTCTCTCTATTTTTATGCCCTTTCCAATCATTAGACATGGCTGTATTCTCTCTCATGAAAGGATTGAGTTAATGCTTTCAAGGTGAAGAGCAAAGGCTTTTCCCAAACATTCAGTTGGTGAAGTCTGGTGAAGAACTCCAATTGAAAGTCCTAATTAAATTGTGATGAGGCTTAGGAAGTAAGTGCAGTTGGAGATTGTGTGTCTATCTGTAAAGTATTGAGCAAATACAAGAGTTGTTACATTAGGAATCCAGGGATGTGCATGGAAGGTGGAGATGAAGGAGGAAAGGGTGAGTGGGCAACTGCAGAACAGTCTGAAATTCATTCTTCAGATCATAATGGTTATGGATGATGGCCTTATATTCTTTTATCAAATCACAATCCTCATTCCACTTGGTAGGTTTACTACTTAAAATGATACTTTAAAAAAGTATTATTAGGACCCATGCCCTTAAATGGCCTATTAATACATTTGTGATTTTGTATTCATGGCTTCTTTGGTCATTCCATTCCTGTCTTTTGGTCCAACTCCTGATCATTTCTCAACTCTCAGAAACACATCCCTTCTGTAAAGCTATTCTCATGCCTCTCTCTGTGCCTGGCTCCATGATAGCTGGTCTTAGAGTATTTTCTCAGTATTGTTCTTTGTAATAGGTTTGTGTGTGTGTGTGTGTGTGTGTTTCATTATTTTTAAGTAGCACAAGGCATGTACCATTTACTTACAAATATTTATACCTTTGGTATTATCACACCACCTATTAGAAATGTTTGATGATTTACTGGCCATTTGCAAAATCTTGTGCTTGATAGATAAACTGTGATGTGATCTCTGGAAAAGGATTTCCACACTAAATGAACACTGAACCCTCTTAAAAGCCAAAGTCCAAAATTTATGTAGGTGTGAAGTGCACACTAATTGTTAAAGATGGCATAAAATGTATGCTAATTCATACTAAAAATGAGAACATTAAAGTTGGGATTTAGCATTCTAGGGAAAAAAATCTACCCCTACTTAAACTGGATAATACTTTACCTCTTATGCATTGAAGTCCTCCATTTTCACTTTAATATAAATTACATGAGGGATGGTGTTCTCTTTCCATTATACTATCACAAACTCAAGAGACTTCAAAGACAAGTCTCTGAATTTTATCTAGTATAGCATTAATATGGGAGAGAAATATACCCTCCATAACTGGAGGTATGCAAGATGGTCAATGTATGGAAAGAAATTCTAATTGCTAGCTTTGTTTTATAATGTAAGCTGGAATGAGAGTTATTGCTTCCCTTCTGCAAAAGAAGAATTTAAGGAAAATGGAAAAGAGGACTAATTAGCTTCCTGTCCCCTCAATGGTCCAATCAGGGAACAGTGGTGACTTCCCAACAGCAATGAAGAAGAAATTTGCACTGGGCAGAAGCTTAAACCAAAGTAATCCTATTTTCTCTTCCAACTCTAAATTTTTGTGATTCTGGAGTTTGCTGCCAATGCAGAAATAAGGATCCAGATGGTTGGGATGCACCTCTTATGAGCAACCTCTAGCAAAAGGATGAATGGCGAACCCTAGAGACTAAGAAGCAGTGTCTACCCAAATCCTCTACAAAAGTGCTTTGAGATGAGCTTTCTTCCTGTACTCATTTGTGTTCAACTCAAATTCTTCACATGGCTTCTCACTTTTCACAGATTCCAGAGAAGTGGCAGTGTTTATGCTGTTGTGTAGATGGCCTGGTGGGTGTGGGTACATATCCATGTGTATTAAGTGTTAATGAAATGGAATTATTTTAGATACTTGAGGAAGCTTGTGTGGCCGAACATTGGTAAACCAAGGCAATGTTAAAACTTACATTATTATTTTTTTTTTTAATTATGGCCCTTGATTTTATTCAAATTAAGACTTTAATATGGAAAGCATTTGTAGGAAATCTGACACTACACTATTTCTTTTTGGTGAAAGTAGCAGGAGGAACTTCTTCACGTGCACAGAATGACTATGAGATAGAACAACATTTCATCCCTTGGAAACTTTGTTGAAGGGGAAAACACAAAAGTGGTCAGTGTGTTTTGGAAGAAGCTGCACATTTAAGGGCATCAGAAAGCAGGATTCAAACTCAATTCAGGCAGTTATTGTGGGTGTTAAAATGGGTATGCCATGCCTCTCGGCGGATCCTATTTTCCGAACTAAAAAGCTTCCTGCAATAATATCTGAGGTTACCCTGTGTTTATGTGAATGTGTCTCCTCCCAAGCCCACCTGCTGGCCAACTTCCATCAGTTTCCATTTATTGATAAGAAAAGAAGCCATATGAGTAAGATAGTAGTGTCATTGCATCCCCCCACCCCTGTTTGAGAATGAGTCAAAGAAAAAAAAAAACACAAGGAATTAAGCATAAAGAGGGAAGAAATCTTAACCGAAGAAATATCTTCTTTATCTATGTCCATTTCCTCCCACAAGGAAAAATGGCAGTGTCAGTTGTACATTACATATATCTCTCTCTCTCTTTAGTGTTTAATCTTAGCACCTGCACAGCAGAGATCTTTACAATTCATTGCATAAGCTCTCCCTCTCCCCGCTCCAGACAGCACCTGAGGCCTACCGAGCTACTCCCTCAAAGCTCCACCAAAGGCTGAGACCCTTCTTCATGACAGAGTATAGAAGTAACAAACATGCCCGACGGTTTTTATACAGTTGCTAGAACGTTTTAGTTTTCCAACAAATGAAGATTTTTCCTCCTTTTTCTTTGAACATTAATTACATTTTACAAATTTTTGTGTTTTGTTTAGCTTTGCTTTGTTCTGTTGTGTTTGTACAACAAAAGGGACAGTCCATGGCCCGGGGTCCCGCGTTAGCAGAGTTTGGCTGTCATCTGGTCCGACTGTTTGAGGATCTCAGTGTTGTAGAGGTCCAGCGCGTGGTTCACCCTGATGATCTCGCTGTTGGTCAGTTTCAGGCGGTGTTTCAGCATACAGGAGAACAGGTCCAGCTGCGGTTTCCCCGGGGCCACCGGAGGGGCCAGGCGATTAATTCGGTCCCGAATATCCAACAAGAGGAGCATCACGGACGAAGAGGAGTAGAACTGGCCGCCCTGTGTGTAGGACTGATTCACCTGCTGCACTGCGCTGCGCAGGAGGTCGGCGTTGAACCTCAGGCTGTACCCGAACACCTGCACATCCGAGATCTTGATGTAGAACTGCCTCTTGGAGGGATCAGACAGGTCCACGGGGCCCTGGCCAGTCTCATTCCGCAGCAGGGTAGGGAGCCGAGTCCGACTACGTAGGTAGATGTGGACTGTCTCAAAAAACGTTTTCCACCGATTGCCCAGCAGGAGAGTCCAGTTGTAGCATTGGCTGTTTTGGAGACGGATCTTCTCCCAACGGGGGTAGCCGAATTCCCCAAAGGGCATGTTCCAGCCCTCCGAGTGGCTCCCGCTGAAGGGATTGACATAGACAAAGAACATGGGGTCCAGGCTGCTGTTGCGCATCTGGCAGATGCGCATGGACATGCCGATCACCATGTGTATGAAGTCCATTCGGTTCTTGTTGCTCTTGAGAGTGAGGGACATGCGCTTGCGCCACCGAGGGTCGAAGAAGGTGTCCAGGCGGATCTCGTTGCTGATGAAGGTGGTGTGGACGTAGAGGCGCGAGTCCATCTTCTGCAGCAGGTACTTCAGCTCCAGGTCCTGGAAGTCCAGGTCGGTCTCGAAGCTGATGAACTGCTCGCTCCGCTCAGAGTCCACGTTCTGTGGTTCGCAGCGGCCTCGGTACAGCTTGTAGCCTTTGTTGCAGGAGCCACAGAGGGAGATGTTGGCCAGGCTGCACATGGCGCAGCTGTTGTTCCCTCCTATGATGCAGGGGATGGGGCGCTGGCAAAGTGTGGTGCTACCGTGGCACACACAACTCCTCTGGCTCTCCAGAAAGGTTCCCCAAAACCCGTTCTCGTTGCAGTAGAGAAGCGACTGGACCCTTGCAAGCCACTGCTGAATTGTCCTGGGGGGATAGAGGAAAAATGGAGAACATTAACCACTTGGCGGGGGTCTGAGTTGCTCTGTACCAATGATAACAGAAATTGGAGCCACCCAAAGAGAGACTAGACTCAGGGGAGAAGCTATAACTGGAAAAACATTGAATGTAAGTTGCAATGACTACATTGTGGCTCCAATGCCACAAACCAGCTCCATGACATCACACCTTACTGTTCTAATAATATGCAATGTCCTCATCTGTAAACAGGAGGTGGAGTAAATTTGGGGGAATTCCCCTCAGCTTTATGATTCCAACCCAATAGCCCCAAGGAAGTATTTTTTAGTAAATTATAGTATCTAAACACAAGTACTCTAAATGGATGACAAGAAATTGTAAAAAAAAAAATCATAATAATAAATAAAAAAATAAGAGTCATGGAAAGGACCTTAGGGATTATTTCTTTTAATCCATATCAGATGATTCAACTGCTTTCACACAGTGATCCAATAGGGTTATATAACATTCAACAACTTCAACAAAAAACGAATTATACTTTGTCACATTCTTGAAATCGTACGGTGCCCCCATCCTGATGAACTTGCATGATTCTCACAGTGGTTTTCTCAAAACATGCAAGAAAGCTGTTATTTCAGCCATTTCCCCAGAGCTCCAAATTCTCAGTTCAGTGGCATTCCAATGTCACATGCATCTCTAGGCCCGTCTGCCCCTCAGCACTATAAATGATACCAGAATCTACACCCCGATTCCAATGAAGATGGATATATGCTCAGATAAGAAGCAACAGGAGAACGGGTACAAATACACAAAGCAGTCAGCCTGGAGGCCTCTCATCTTTCCTCATTTTTGTGCAAGTCACCTCTTGGCTGTCTTCCATGCCACAAATAATTCCTTACATGTGTCTAGCACTTTTTACCCTGCACGGGATGCAGTCACTTCGATCTTCTCATTTGAGTCTCACAACAACACCCCCAAAACAGCCTAAGGCTGGAGGCCATTGAGAGATTTCCTAAAACCCTGCTCTTCCACATCAGCTGAGGAATGCTGGGCAGTGCCCCTCGCCCTCCAATCACAGCATGGGGCCGTGGTAAGGATTACATAAATTTTTATACGAAGGCTTAGCTCCAAACTTGGTAGGTATTAAGAGCCTGATAAAATTTAGCTCTTATTATTCCTGCAAAGGGACTGTCAGGTTTGCTTTATAGAAGACATGGCAACAGAAACTCAGACGGAAAGTTATGGATTCCAACTCATGTGATGAGTACAGGCAGCTCTTGGTTCCTCGTTGTTGCTTTTGGCAGTACCAGTCAATCAAGGGTCAAGAAGACCTCTCTTAAGGTCCCATGCATGGTGGTGATGTGGATGGTGACAGTGGTGGTGCCTGTGGTTCAGGATCATCATTTTAGGAAGCTGGACACAGGAGCCGATTTACCTCCCTGGGCCCTTGGGGGGAAGTGTTAGCAGACCACCTGTGCTGTCCTCTGCACTGAGGATCCACAAAGACCAAAGCATGAGTACCAGGAGCCAGTGGAGCCAGGTGGCCAAAAAGCATGGCTATGGACCCAAGCAGAACTGAGTTTAAGCTCAGCTATGGAGCTGGGAGCAAGTCACTTCATCTCTTTAGGCCTCAGTATCCATATCTACAGCGGGGATAATAAAGCCCATCTCATGTGGCTGGTGAGAGGATACAGTGAGATAATATATTTAAAGAGCTTAGAAAAGCTCGGCATTGAGCAATTATGGAAAAGGTAGTAATAGAAAGTACTCTTATCCCAGAGAATAAGCGTTTCCTTTGAAGGCATTGAGACACTCTCAAGGATGCTGCTATCTCTCCCGGGTTTGAGGGAAGCCATTTTGTAATATCCATTTGAAAATGGATACTGTTGAAATGTCTTCCTGGCACGCTTTGCTTCAAATAAGTGGCTTATCAGCTGAGAGAAAATGGAGGAATAATTAGCTTTTGGAAACACTCTGCCTTTTAAATTCATAGAACCCTTCCTGCCCTTGGCAACAAGACCACCCTACAGCACCCAGATGTGGCCCTGGGACCCTACCCTTTCTCGTCAGTTTCCCTGCTCTTAGGCTTCAGAGGAGGGGCCTCTCCTTCCCCAGCACCCAGCCCAGAGCCTAGCTCTATAAACCTTTGCTGAACAAATGAATTTTGCTGAATGAATGAACAAAGCTTATTAATATTTTTTTCACTTAACAATTAAAAATAGAAAAAGAAAAACAAACTTCCCTGTCTCCCCCCAGGGCTGCAGGATCAGTTTTCCATACCATCCGCCCACACAGCTCCAGGCCTCCCTGGTCTCTGCTTCGTGAGACCAATCCTATTACAGCCTGGAGAACAGCAGCAGGCCCAGCCTTCAGGAACACGGAGCTGGAATAATAATGAGCTGTGTGGCTCTCACCTCCCAAACCAGAACATTGACTGAATATTGGGGTATGAGTCATCTGATATTTTTGTGAGCTGCAGGGGCCCTCCACGCGGCTCTGATTGCGTGATTCCATCTGACAAGAGCGTCATTTCAAAATGCCCCTTTCAAATGGCCCACACTTGCTCCTGTCACTCCCTCTCCAAGTGACAGGACAGTACCCCATTTAGAGCTCCTCTGTCCCCATCTGCAAGGCATTCTATAACCCCGTAGAGCGCCCCCTTTCCCGTGTCTCATCATTGGGACCCTTTGTCGGGGCCGCAGCCCCCCACTCCTTGAATCAATGCTTCATTGTGGCTACGCTCTCAGAATCCTCGGGAGGGGGGACCGACGAAGATGAAAGTTCCTGGTGATGCTGCAGGGAGCAGTGGGGCCAGTGGCCCATTAGGATTCCAGGCCTGTCGAGCAGGAGGGGTGGCGGACAGAGGCCCTCTGAGAGGCCTCAGCGAGCTGCGCAGCACCTGCATCTCCTGACCTCAGAATAATCATGAGGTTGTGGGCTGCATCAAAGAAGGCATTAATGATACAGCTCGAGGGCTTGGAAAGGAGGTGGCGTTCAGGGGGAGCCGGGAGCGCAAGGCTGCAGGAAAGACGAAGGAAAAAGGTGGGGCCTGGGGAAGGGTGGTAAGAGAAGGGGAAAGGACTTGGGGACAGAGTGACAGGGAGCAGGTGGAGCCGATGAGCAGAAGGGGCTACACAGAGCCACTGGAAGGGCAGAAGGTGAAGGGATTCAATAAGAGTAGGCAGTTACAGAAACAGAAACACTCTGCTGAGATTTGCTGGTCAGAACTCACAGACTCAGTGAGTGTGGACATTGGATGGGCCACCTGGGAGTGGGCTAGTGGTTCATCCCTGTCCTGGATCAGATAGGGACCAAGGTTACCAGGAAGCCCTAACTCTCAAGGTCGGTGAGCACTTCTTTGCTTTTCAATATTTCATCTTGAGATTATATCCAGAAAAAAAAAAAAGCTCATTTCATTTGTTTGGTGTATTTGTTTTTAACACAAGAAAACTCCAGTAATGTGAAATTGGCATCAATATGAACAATCCCCTATACCTTCTCCATCTCCAGGCAGTGCTCCGAATGATAACCACTGAGTCACAACTCTGCAAGGCTCAACTGCAGGTGGCACCCCGATCCAGCTGAGGGAGTCTGTGGCTTACAGCTATTGAGCACTCACTGTACAACAGGCAGAGTGCTAGAGGCTCTTTGTACCCACGTCCCCTGAGCAACATGTGTACCTATCTTAGTGTTGCAGATAAAGATAAAAGAGTTCTTGGGACATGAGATAACTTGGCTAGGATCACGCAGTCACTCCACATTCAAGCCCCAGACCCTACCTTTGGCATGGGTGCACTTTCTGCTGTGAATCACCATATGAAATTATTACAATAAGCCAGACAAGGGGGAAGCAAGCCACCCAAAGAGAGATGAATTGAGATAATGGAAAAACACAGAAAGTTTGAGCTTGTGAAGGGCCTATTATCACATTCCTTGCTTCCTCTGGACCTGCCAGGGTCCCTCTCCTCCATTCACAGATAATTGGGGCTCACCGACAAGTGCACAGGGAGAGGCTGGGGACCCGGGGTAGGAGGGACTGTGATCTATAAATATCATTTCCCAGGTTAGCTGGTGACAGTCTGCCTCAACCCTGGCAACAGAGAAGCGGCTTAATAGGCCAGCTCCGGAGGGGAGGGTCTTACAAAACTGACAGTCAGTGTGAGGCAACAAGGACCAGATTTTAAAATGCTTTTCTTGGTCCCTAGGGATCCCCAGTATCTTCCATTTGCATCCAGAGCTGAACTCCAATTCATCCCAATCAGCATCTCTCTGTTGGATGAGATTTCAGTTCATTCTGGTGAAGGGCCAGCACAGAGAAGAGTGGGCTGGGGGAAGGAGGGTAGGGCAGGAAGCTGCGTTTTTCATTTCTAAACTGGAAACCCCCTGACGCTTGATTGATAAGCACCCATGGTGGCTCCAAATGGAGCAGCTTGGATCACAGAAGCAGAGAACTTTCAAGAAGGTTTGCAAATGCTCGGCCCATCTCCTTCATGTTCTGACTGTGAGATGAGAGAACAGTGTTTCTCAAGGGCTTTCTACCTCATGGCTGTCACCTCTTTGCATCACCCCATGAGATAGGTCTCTCTTGTGACTTCCATTCCACTGATGAAGGGATTGAAGGTCAGAGAGGGAATATGATTCACCCATGGTCACATAGCATAGACACGCAGAACAGAGTTGAGCATTTCTGGATCCAAATCCAACCAATTGTCTTTCAGTTACCCTGCAATTTGTTCCTGATTCTCAAAACCCTAGACTGGAAGATCCACTAGGCTTGGGGCCACGGAGACACCTCTGCGACTCCCCTGCTGGCCCTGTCTTTACCTCAGCCAGGGTTTTCTGGCAACATGACAGGTCTCCCCATGAGGTAGCTCGTCATTTGGAGGACAGAGGCTCTGCCACCCAGGGCTTCCCATCAGTGCTTTTCAAAGGCTCACATCTCCCTTTCAGAACCATCGGGCTGGGGAGCCCTGGCTGGGATTCCTAATTCAAGCAACCTCCCTGCTGAT